ATTATTATATATATAATATATATTTTTTTAATTTACATATCCTGAAATTGTCATTTGCAGGAAAATAAGTGGAACTAGAGACCATTATGTTAAGTGAAATAAGTCAAACTCAGAAGGTAAAGGGTTGCATGTTTTCTCTCATGCAGAAGCTAGAGAGGAAAAGAGAAAGTAAGTTGGGGGCAGATCTCATGGAAATCAGTAAAGGGACCAATGGATGGGAGGTGGGGAGAGAGGAAGTACTGGGAAGTGATACTGGCCAAGTTATATTGTTATAATGCATACATATATGTAACAACAAATCCCATCAGTATATACACCTGTAATGCACAATTAAAAATGTGAGCCAGGCGTGGTGGCGCACACTTATAATCCCAGTGGCTCAGGAAGCTGAGACAGGAGGATCCTGAGTTCAAAGCCAGCCTCAGCAATGACAAGGCTCTAAGCAACTCAGTGAGACCCTGTCTCTAAATAAAATATAAACTAGGGCTGGGATGTGGCTCAGTGGTTGAATGCCCCTGAGTTCAATCCCTGGTACCTAAAAAAAAAAAAAAAAAAAATTAAATTAAATAAAAAACAAAAAGTGAAAAAAAGTACAAACAATAAAAGCTGGAGAGGACAGAGAAAAAGGAATAATTTTATACAGTGAGATTTTTAAATTAATATAACCACTATGGAAATAAGTTATGGAGCTTTCTTAAGACTACAATGGAACCACCAAATAACCCAGCTATACCACTGCATATATATCCTAAAGAATTAATTATACTACAGTGATACAAGCATACTCACGTTTATAGCAGCACAATTCACCACAGTCAAACCATGAAACCAGCCTAGGTGTCCATCAATGGACAAATGAATAAAGAAAATGTGATACACACACACACACACACACAATGGAGTTTCATTCAACCATAAAGATGAATGAAATAATGTTATTTGCAGGAAAATGGATAGATCTTGAAAACATAATATTAACGAAATAAATGAAACTCAGAAAGTCAAGGGTTGTATGTTTTTTCTCTCATATGTAGGAGCTAGTGAGAAAAAAGGAAAATGGATGGTCTCATGAAAATCAAAGAGAAATCAGTAAACTAAAGGGATGAGGGGGAAGGAAACAGAGGTGAAAAGAGAAATAATGGGGAATGATTTTCGCCAAACTGTACTGTTATGTTGTGTGCATACACGTTACAAATCCCAATATTATGTACAGCTATAATGCACCAATAAAAAAAAGTGAAAAAGAAAAATACTTGATATTCCAATGTTTCCTTTTCTCTATATATTATCATATATACATATATATATWTWTTTTTTTTTTTTTTGAGGGACACACTACCACTGGGCTACATCCCCAACCCTTTTTTATGTATTTTGAGATAAAGTCTTGTTAGGTTGCTGAAGCTGGGCTCAAACTTGAGATTCTCCTGCTTCAGCATCGGAAGTAGCTTGGAATACTGGTGTATGCCACCTCAAACAGCCATATAATCAATCTTTTTTTTTTTTTTAAGTGTGGATAGACTGATTTTATTTTATTTTTTAGTAGTTCATGGACCTTTATTTTATTCATTTATTTATGTAGTCCTTTATTCATTTATATGTGGTGTTGAGAATCAAATCCAGTGCCTCACACATGTGAGGCAAGTGCTCCACCACTGAGCCACAACCCCAGTCCCATATAATCAATCTTGTTTAATAATTCTTATCATTTACTTTATAAGGAAAACAGTGACTTGAAATTACATAGTAGTTCCCAAGCTTTTGGATTATGATCTTATTTTTATGTCGGTGTGAGCAACTGAGACAATGTCTCACAAACAAAATTGGCCTGGGGTCTGGATATGTGACTTAGTGACATAGCACTTGCCTAGCATGTATGAGGCCCTGTGTTCCATCTCCAGCATGGGGGTAAAATAAAAAATAAAAACAAAAACATACAACTGCCACTTCAAGGATTTTCATCACAGCATTATTTATACAAGTTAAAATTGGGGGGGACCTAAATACCTAAATGCTTGCCCCAAATGTTTGTTCACAGGGTAAGTAATATGTATCTATACAGCTAATGAAAACAGTGAAGTATACCTACACATATCTCCAAAGAACTACTCCACAAATGAAAAATAAGCAATACTGAAAAAAATTCTATGAAGCTCATAATTGATTCAGCTAGGATTTTATCATATACAGGAATTTCTTTTTTGTATTTAGTCTTGTATAGATACCTTTCTTCTTTATGTAGCAATGGGGATGGAAACATGTACACTTTACTACTGAGCTACACGCCTAGTCCTTTTTGAGACAGGTTCTCCCTAAATTGCCAAGGCTGGCCTCAAATTTGTAATCCACCCTGCCTCAGCCTCTTTGGTCATTGGGATTACAGGTGTGCGCCACTCCTGGTTCTGATATATTAAATGGCTATTAACTGCTTCTCTCCTTGCAAGAACAAATGATTCTAAATAGTACAAAGGTCTATCAATACAAAAATGTTTATGTAAATTAGCCGGGCGCGGTGGTGCACGCCTATAATCCCAGCAGCTCTGGAGTCGGAGGCAGAATAATCACGAGTTCAAAGCAAGGCGCTAGGCAACTCAATGAGACCCTGTCTCTAAATAAAATACAAACTAGGACTGGAAATGTAGCTCAGAGGTCAAGTGCCCCTGAGTTCAATCCCCAGTATCAAAAAAAATTTATATAAGTTATAGCATAACTATGTAATGGAGTTATGTGTTTATATAGTGTGATCCCTAAGATGTAGCAAATAAATAAAAGCAAAATGTCCTCAGACTCCTTTGACCTATTATTTCCTAGGCTCGGCTCTTAGATGTGTGCTTTTCTGTAAGTGCCATGTACCTCTTCCAAGGGAATACTTACAATTTTGTTGCAGTTGTCAATCAACTAACTCAGTACAGCTTTGGAGCCAGCCCATTAACTCCAAGTTTGACTTTTCCTGTCTTGGATGAAACAATGGGTATGGGATTCTTGGCTCCTGAATGGCTGCATAGCGGCCAGATGATGCAACGCAGATATACAGGAAAGCTAAGTGTCTATGAAAGTGATCATTGGGAACAGGAGTGAAAAAAAAGACCTTCTTTCTCCCTTCCAGACTGTTTTGAGGCATGGTTTTCAGTCTGCCTGGTGTAGATGCAACAAACTGATAATTACTTGAAGAAATATGGCAATATAATTAATTGAAATGTATATACTTTATGACCTCACAATTATAATTCTAAATATGTACATTAGAGATATTTATGTATATGCATAAGAATATTGCCTTTTCTATTAACTTTGAAAAACTGAAAATGACCTAAATGTCCATGTGGCAGAATTCTAAAGATGGGTTTCTCAAGATTCATATTCTGATTATTCAAAACTAATCTAGGTAGTGCTTTGAAGGGGTAATTAAACTCCTTAGTAAGTTTAATATATGGATAACCCAATTAGGGGTTTATTATTATTTTTTTTAAAGCAGTTTTCTCTTTAGGTAGTATATGAGGAAATCAGACAAGCTCTTTAAAGGGGCATGTGATGCCCTTGCTGAATTGTGATGGTGAGTGCCATATAAGGCACTCACCATATGAGTGGCCTTAAGAAGCTGAGAGAAGCCACAGGTTGGCAGCTACCAAAAGCCTGGGCCAGCAGAGCACCAGAATTAGAACCATAAGAACTGCATGAACTTCATAACAAATTCTCACCTAGAGTTTAAAGAAGTTTTAAAAAACAAAACAAAACAAAAAGACCTCTGGCATACTAAGTTAAAGGGACCTGAAAAATAGCAGGTGCAAGATTACTCTTTCATACTGTTTCTTAAAAGAAAAAACAAAGAGAAGAAATTCCCATATGAAATATGCAAATCTTAGCATCAAAGACAAGAAAAGTTGAGGCTGAAGGAATTCTGTACAAAAAAAAAAAAACTTTGGTTATATACTTTTGTGGTTTTGGTCTCACAAATTGAACTCAGGGGCACTCAGCCACTGAGCCACATCTCCAGCCCTATTTTGTATTTTATTTAGAGACAGGGTCTCACTGTTGCTGAGGCTGGCTTTGAATTCACAATTCTCCTGCCTTAGCCTCCCAAGCTGCTGGGATTACAAGCATGCACCACCATGCCCCTTTTTTTAAATAAGGGCTCCCATGCCAAGTAAGTCTTCTATTACATTTCTATGCTTTTCCCTATTTATCTACGTCAATCTTATTCTGGAACCCAGTTGAGACCCTATAAAAAATGATAAAGTTTCCTGCCCCTACAGCCTCCAAGTTATAGCCCACCTGACAAATATCTTGGCTTTCACCTTCTGATATTCTAAGCAAAAATAGCTAAGCCATGACAGATTTACCTCAAAACTGTGGGATATAAATCTGTGTTATGTTATTTTAAACTACTGTATTTATGGCTTTTTTTTTTTTTGGTGGTGCTGGGGATTGAACCCAGGGCCTTGTGCATGCGAGGCAAGTAATCCACCAACTGACCTATATCCCCAGCCCTTATGGTAATTTTCTTTACAACAGTGGAAAAATACTGCAGTCCATATATAGAGCATGGGTAAATACTGTTGCATACATGACAATTAAATCAACTACATATATATATATACACATACACACACACACACACACACACACACACACACTAGATATACATATATATGTAATCATAGAAAAAATTAAAGTTTCAAGTAAAAAAAATTCATTATGAGATACAGACTGTCGTTAATAATTTTGAGATCCTAAAGATTGCCATACATAGTTATTCATATTACTACATGCACTCTTAAGGTTTCACCAATGTGTTTTCTTTTAATATTTATTTTTTTAGTTACAGATGGACACAATGTCTTTGATTTACTTTATGTGGTAGTGAAGATCAAACCCAGTGCCTCAAGCATGCTAAGCGATCGCTCTGTGCCACAACCCCAGCCCTCACTCATGTGTTTTCAATTCTGCATTTCAAAGAACCAAACTTATCTCATTTCTGCACTCAGAAAAACTAGAATTAATTTTTTTATTTTAAAATACATTTAATAAAAATAACTGACAGTTTTACATATTTTACATCTGTAGAATATTTACAAATTCACTTCTACAGTATTTACTTAATATTTATTATTTTTCCATTATTTGCTTTTTGAACTATTTCCTCCAGTAACAGAATATCATCCTGGAATCTCTGTAACTAAAAAATTAACTTCTTGGGCAATCCTCCTAGAAAGCAAAAAAAAAAAAAAAAAGTGTTCACAGTTAGTCTTGTAGTAATTTTAACCAGTTCCTGCATTCCAACTCCCATTATTTAACTTACTGGCACTTAAACATTAAGCATAGTTTATACTTATGAATGTGTGAAAGGAGGAAGGAACACACAGATAGCTCTCATAACTCTGAGGTATACTAAACAAACAGTTAATAGCACATTTTGTCTATTTAATGCAACTTAAAAAAATAGCCAACCCTGGCACAGTAGTATACAGCTGTAATTCCTGCTACTTGGCAGGTAGATCTGAAGTTGAAGCCAGCCTCAACTTCAACCCTCAGCAAATTAGCAAGACCCTGTCTCAAAATATAAAATAAGAATCATGGAAGCAGCTCAATGGAAAAGCACCCCTGGGTTCAATCCCCAGTACAAAAAATTAAAGTTAATACCTCATAAGCTACAATTCTTAGCTTTCCTTCAGTCACTAGCTATATATGAGCTCTTTGGAGTTCTCTGAATTCATTCAATTTCTTACAAAAATGGGAATATTTACCTTGTTCCAAGGCCTCAGTTCTTTTCCGTTTTGTTGCCATGGCTGGGTTTGACTGTTCCTTTAAAGTTTCCACAGGACAATTTGGTCTTGGCAGCTGACTTCCAGGGGTTGGTCCTGGACGATTACTGAAGTACTTAGTTTTCAATGCCTTTTCAAAGATACCAAAGTAAGGTTTTTAAGTGAATATCTGGACTGTTTGCAGGAAAATCCACAAATGCTCAAAAAATTAATGCCCCAAAATTGCAGGGGGCATTAAAAATACTATGTGATTGGGCTGTGCCTGTGGCTCAGTGGTAGAGTGCTCGCTCACCTGGCACACTTGAGGCACTGGGTTGGATCCTCAGCACCACATAAAAATAAAATAAAGATGTTGTGACCACTGACAACTAAAAATACATTTATTAAAAAAAAAAATACTATGTGATAATTCCTATTCCCAAAACAAAGTACAATTAAAATAAAGGATTTGGAAATGCAAATAAATCACTACAAGTAAAAATCTAGCATTCTAAGATTATTAATTTCATTACTTTAAGAAAAAGACTGGCGGGGCTGAGGCTATAGCTCAGTGGTAAAGTGCTTGCCTTGCATGTGTGAGGTACTGGGTTCAATCCCCAGCATTACATAAAAATAAAGAATCCCTCGCTCTCTTCTCGGGTCTCTTGTCTTCCCTTGTCCTCCAGTGCTGCCATGCCCTGTTCTAAAGAAGTAACCCTCATCTCCCACAACAAGAGGCCCGGCCTGCGGAGAAGGGCAGCTTTCGACTCCGGTCTATCGGCCCCAACCCGGGGGACCGCGTGGGCCACAGGCACCTGTACAGTGCCTATGATTATAAAGTACCACCTTGTGAAAACATTGAGATACCTCTTCCTTCTGGGTGCTATAGAAGAATAGCTCCACATTCTGGGTTGGCTGCAAAATATTTCATAGATGTAGGAGCTGGTGTCATAGATGAAGATTATAGAAAAAATGTTGGTGTTGTGTTATTTAATTTTGGCAAAGAGAAATTTGAAGTAAAAAAGGGTGATCAAATAGCACAGCACATTTGTGAACGGATTTTTTTATCCAGATATAGAAGAAGTTCTAGTGTTGAATGATACTGAAAGGGGTTCAGGAGGTTTTGGTTCTACTGGACAGAATTAAAATACAGGCCAAGTATAGAAAAATGTTACTTTCTGCTTAAACTGTTAGTATTTTGCACGACTGTAAAGCTAGCTTTAGCTTCTAAAAGTTTATTTTCTTATGATAAAGGAAAGAGTTTCTTTGTTAGTATCACATGGAAACTTTCCAATATTTTTTCAGTTTATAGTTGTATGTAAATTTGTGGTAACCTAATGCAAAATTTTTAAAATCAAACGTACATTAATTTCACATTTAAAAAAATATTCAATAAACGATATCCTTTCAACTTAACAGTAAAGAAACTGTGTTTATATACAACTAAATATTTAAAAAAAGAAAGAAAGAAAGAGAGAAAGAGAGAGAGAAGGAAAAGAAAAGAAAAAGACTCCCCATAGCTGAGTGGTAGAGTGCTTGCCTAGCACATGTGAGGCGCAGGGTTTGATCCTCAGCACCACATAAAAAAAAAAGTGTCCATTAACAACTAAAAATAAGGTCAGGCACAGTGGCACACACCTGTAATCCCAGCATCTTGGGAGGCGGAGGCAGGAGGAGCATGAGTTCAAAGCCAGCCTCACCAATTTAGCCATGCGCTAAGCATCAGTGAGACCCTATCTCTAATAAAATGCAAACTAGGGCTGGGGATGTAGCTCAGAAATTTTACAAAATTCAAATTTTATTTTATCAGTGCTAACACTAYCTTTATATCTCCTAATATAAAGAAAAATTGTTAAAAATACCTGTGTGGCTGTAATTCGAGTACACGGATTAAATAAGAATAAGCCTTGTATAAGATCCAGCAAGTCGTCTCCTGCTGCAATGAAGATGTGTTGCAATGGGATTCCAGGGAAACTCTTAAATGTCACATAATCGGGAAGACTACACATGTCCTGTAAAAATATTTTATAATTTAAATTTAAGTAAAGGACTGAAAGGTACATAGATGAGATAAAACTCATACTTGCAGATGATATGACAGTTTACATAAAAAATCCCAAGAAATCTATTTGTAGAAAACAAAACACTGAACATGGTGGCACATGCCTATAATCCCAGCTGCTTAGGAACCTGAGGCAGAAGGATTACAAGTTCAAGGCCAGCCTCATGAAGAGGTAAAATGCAACCCTATTATATATGTTTGTACTTGTGGGTATACAAACTCAGCATAGCTTTATACCAAATATAACAGTGATAACCTAAGAAGGAATTACTCGAGAGAAGGGCTATATGTATAACAGAGGTTGAAAGGTATGCCATAATTTTAACGTATTCCTTTATAAACTTTTTAATCATTTGTAATTTCGTAATGAGGCTATCACAAGTAAACTAAGATATTTAATATATTTCTTCAATAATCACATGACAGAACATACATGAAGCATATGACAACTAAATAAACTTATAGAACCCTAACTATAGTTAAAAAAAACTCATAAGGGCTTACAGGCCACTGTTCCTCAGTTGGTGTGCCTAAAGTTTCGAATATTCTTGTCAGTTGGTCGAGATCTGAATCTCCCGGCAAAAAAGGAACCTGAGAAAAAGCAAGAGATATTTCAAGGTGGTTTGTGATAGTTTTTAATACAAACAATATTATAAATTTAATAATAAAAATGCTAAAAATCTCTGTAATATTAAAAATGTAGACTGAGATATAATGTATGTGGCATTAGATCCTGCCCCCATTTGCAAAAGTAAATAGTACCTTCAGTATCCATTTTATTCACTACATAAATTTTTAATAAATTTTTACCATGTAACAGGCTCTGTCTGTGCTGTACCCTAAACACAACAACAAAGGGTTAAAATTACCCCTGCAGTGAAGGTGGTGAACACTGTTGATGTAAGTAAACAGGCATTTATTTACAATGTGTTCAGTGAGAGTACAGTATCTTAGGTGACAGAGGAATAGCACCTAGCCCATTCAAGATGGGTCAGGGAAGGATATCTAGGAAAGCGGCAGTGATAGGTGAAGGATGAATACGAGTTAGCAAGAGAAATATCTAAGTTGAAGAAGAAAACTATTCTAGGGCAGACAAAAAAGCTGGGAGTGAAAAAAATATTCCAATCTTATTTAAACAATTTAACAAATTCTTTATCTGAAGAGATATATCAGCAAACTTGAAAAGACAAACAATTACAAGTTAAAACTTGAGCTAGCTAGGCTCAGTGGCATATACCCGTAATCCCACAACTTGGGAGGCTAAGGCAGGAGAATCACAAATTCAAAGCCAGCCTCAGCAAGTTAATAGGCCCTAAGCAACTTAGTGAGACCCTGTCTCAAAAAATAAAAAGGGATGGAATGTGGCTCACTGGTTAAGTCTCTCTAGGTTCATTCCCTGGCACCAAAAACTCAAAACAAAACTAGTAAGTTGATAAACAATCAAAAATCTCCGCTATACATGGACCTTGTATTTTTTTTTTTTTTTTTTTTTTTAGTGCTGGGGATTGAACCCAGGACCTTGGGCTTTCGAGACCAACTAAGCTATACCCCTAGCCCCCATAGACCTTATTTTCTAATTCATTTTTCTCAAATATCTATGTAAATATATATAAAAGAAAAAAGGCATTTAATTCTCTATGAATACATTGGCTTCCAGTATTTTTCATGGCTTTGACAAAGTTTATAGATTCACTGTGAAGACAAGAGATTAAAAGCCAGGTCTTCAAATTCTTTGTTACTGTGTACTCCTACCAGCAAAAACAAATACAAGAGTCAGGCCCAGTGGCTGATACCTGTAATCTCAGTGATTTGGGATGATGAGGCAGGAGGATTTTCAAGGCCAGTTTCAACAACTTACTGAAACCCGAAGCAACCTGGTGAGAGCCTGTCTCAAAATTAAAAATAAAAAGGGCTAGGGACACAGGTCAGTGATAAAGTGCCCCTAGGTTCAACCCCCAGTACTGAGGAGGGAAAAAAAGGAAGCCCACAATAACATCCCAGGCACCAATTATCAACTTATTGCTTTTTCAGTTCTCTATGTAAATAGATCTGGAACCTTTTGCTTTCTCTATGTAAATAGATCTGGAACCTTAAAATATCTTCCTTTCATCAATGGACACTGAAGTTTTGTCAAAAGAGAATGCTGGAGAGACCTTAAGTGAAAGAACAAGTTTTGTTTCCTGGTTTCAGTTTGCATGCTCAATTGACCACTGCAGTATCCTCAGGTTCTTTATCATCAGGCCTTTTCAGCGTGAGATATGAGCAGTCTCTCCAGTGCTCAGCTACAGTGGTATAGGAGGCCAACAGTCACCTAGCAGAGTGCTTCCAGAGAGACATTTTTTATCTGAACAGCCTTTGTCAGCATCCTGGAGCACAGATTTCCAGCACATTCTAGAAAGCAGATTTCTAGTAAGTTTTACCAGTACAGATCCACAAGAAGTTTTTGGCTCCCTTCAATAACAACTAGATCTCAGCCCTAGAGTGGTAGTGATGAGCTCTTAAAACTGTAGAATTAGTTTTATTTCTTACCATTTAATCCCTTGTTACTCTAATTTCCTGTTATAGTTAATAATTCTTTATATTAACTTCCCTGATAAGAGCAGAATTATGAGGTTTCCTAATTAAGGTATAGGCCAGAAAGAGGGAAGAAAGAAATAAGTCATTTTAACTCATAACTTCAAACTAAATCAAGAAATGAAAAGAAAAAAAAATGTTCCACATTCATTTTCCGTATGCTGAAGATTATCCACCAAGGCTAAAATTCATTCTGTTTTTTTTTTTTTTTTTTTTTGGGGGGGGGGGGGGGGGGGTACCAGGAATTAAATTCAGGGGCAATCAACCACTGAGCTACAACCTTAGCCCTATTTGTATTTTATTTTGAGATAGTGTCTCACTGAGTTGCTT